CTAATTAACTAATTAAAAATTGTTTGTTTTTTGGGGGGTTTTTTGCTTCTCTGATTAAATGGTCAAAACTAAATTATTTTTAAAACCTTCAAACACAGCTATTAGTCTTTTACTGTTTCTTTTTGTTGGCCTGCAGGTGATCATCATTGAGCCGTTCTTCGACTGTTACAAGCCCATGGTCACCGGTGCCGGTGGTGTCCCTGTGTTTGTGCCCCTCAGACCCGTAAGTTGGTGCTTATGTCATTTTGGGTGGTTGGCAGATGCTCTGGTGTGGTTTGCACCTTCTTTCCTATCAAACATCTGTCGTCCTGATCTCTCCTCCTTTTTTGTGTGTGTTACTCTCTTGTTACTCTTCTAGTCTTGGACACTTGTGTGACCTTATTGTGTTGCAAGTGCCGTAAAACTCTTACTAAAATGAAAAGAAAGCTGATTTCATTGGGGGTGGTTATTATTTTTTTTACAAAGGTTTTGTTATGACATTCTGTCATTGCCTGTAGCATCAGGGTTTGTTTGGGGAGAGTGGATGTTTTTATGCGTCTGACAGTCCTTATTACTAAGATTTTGGAAGACTTTGTATTCGGGGCCTAGTGCTTTTATTTCCCTTGCTACCAAAGGACTGGGTGCGTAATGTGTGCTCAGTTGGTAATGTCATGGTTTCTCAGCACTAAAATTACAGAGTGTCTGTGTGCTTCTTTTTATCTTAACCTTTTCCAACCCCAGCCATTTTTGTGCTCTCCCTAACCCCAGTCCCAGCCGATACAGCAATATTTCAGAAAAAGAGGCCTGCACTCTAAAAAGTGATATAGTATCTTTGTAATAAGGTTTAGATAATAAGATGCAACAATGTTTATAGATAAACGAACAAATATTATGAGAACTAAAGTTTAATTATGTTTGCTAATTTCGAAAAATGCGCAAATTCCGTACCCCCCGAAACTGAGAATATACGCTCTTGGGACGGTCGGAGGTACAAGCGCTGCTGAAAATATACGCGATGGGGCTGGATGGGTTAACAACTTAACTAACCTGATTTTTCTTGGTCTGTTTATTTGTTTTTATGAGTAGAGCAAAGAAGGCACTGTGACATCCAGCGGAGACTGGAAGCTTGACCCAGAGGAGCTGGCCTCCAAGTTCAACGAGAAGACAAAGCTGATCATTGTGAATACACCCAACAACCCTCTGGGGAAGGTGAGTGTGTGTGTGTGTATGAGAGAGAGAGAGTATGTGTGTGTGTGAGAGTGTGTGCGTGTGTGTGTGAGAGAGGGAGAGTGTGTGTGAGTGTGTTGTATCATGTGTGTGTATCATTGTTTACACTCCCGACAACCCTTTGGGAAGGGTGACTGTGTGTGTGTTTGTGAATGTGTGTGTGTGTGTGTGTGTTCACACGTGTGTATGTGTGTCATTGTTTACACTCCCAACAACCCTTTGGGAAGGGTGAGTGTGTGTGTGTATGCGTGTGTGTGTGTGCTACTTTGAGTACTTTTGAGTAAAACTACTGGATTTACCATTTTCTAGAAGATGAGAACGATGTGTGTTGTAGCGTAGTGGTTTTGTATGTGCAGGTGTTCACGAGGGATGAGTTGACTATGATCGCTGACCTGTGTAAGAAACACGACGTGGCCTGTGTCGCTGACGAAGTGTACGAGTGGATGCTGTACGACGGGAACAAACACATCAAGATGGGTGAGTCAGAGGAATCCTCTGAGAAATCTGCAGCAAATGAATAAATAAACGAAAATTATATATACTTACTAAATGACACTTTATTGATTTTGTTTTCAAAGCTATTGAAGTGCAATTATAAAATTCCGTACAGTGGCTTTTTATAGTCCAATTGATCACATAAATTAACTGATTATAGTGTGTACATTATACGAGAAAAGGATATCTTTGTACAAGATATTGGACATGCGGCATAGGGGACATTCACAAAGGGGTTGTCTCTCTCTCTCTTCTGGCGCCGTGGTGTCATAAACGGTCAGCGATGCCAACAGCACGCAGGAACTCAACCGTCGCTCGGGGGTCCTTGCTAAAATGTCCCAGCAGACGAGTACAAAAGGGTTAAAATTTGGAGTTGCTT